GAGTACTTCAATAATAAAAAACATCCACTAGGTTGAGAGATCGCCATCGTCGACACATTGTATACAATTGGAACAAATTATTTAAAAAAATTCGATGAATACAGTCGACAGACATTTTGACAAATACTCCCAACGGCAAACAATAATAATCGACTCTCCGTATTTGGCATACACTCCTCCAATAAATTAAGGCACCCCATTGAAATTTCAAAATATTTTGTTGACGTTGATAAAAACTTCAATCACAGTGTTATATTTGGTAAAACTCTCGTATATGCCATTTATGAATGCGATATGTTTGACTGTGGTTCAGAGCTTTAGTTTTTAGTAGCAAAAATGAGAAAGAAGTACGAAATGTACTTATTCGGTGTACTTCTGTATCTATAGAGTAGGGAGGGTGAGTGTAAACCCACAGCACTTAGACCACATGTGATACATCCTCCCGAGGAGTTGTCCTCCTAGGTCATAGTCCACCCTATCCTTTCCAGGAAAGTGGACAGGTCACTAGGAGACATCTCCTTTATATTGGCTCTTGCCGAACACACACTCTCTTTGGTAACCTTGAGGTGTCTCACGGTGGCTTCTGCGAAGGATTTGGAAGGTGCAGCGACATTACTATCGTTGCGCGGCTTCTTCAACCTTCTTGGGGTTCCCTCCGTAGAGTTGCATAAGTGAGGGAGCTTTCCTGCAGGGACAGCCGGTTCCTTGCCTTTATTCAAGGCGGAGCTCTTGGCGCTCGCCACAGGAAGTGCACTTGCTGTTGGAAATGCAGTGGGGGAAGGAGGGTGCACTTATAGTTGCTGCCACTTCTGCTCCTTCCGCTCTCTTTCTCATTTTGGCCTCGGCTCCGCAAATGCGCTCAAGCCTTGGCCTTTGTATTACAATACGAGGTGATCTGCTATGTCCAGCCTCATTCCAAGCGGTAGATTGAGGTGGACATTCCTATTCATCCCCAGCCACCGTCTTAGATTGAGGTGAGCACTTCTGCCCAGCCTCGGGATTGGTTTTTGTTGTTTCTGTTTTTGTGTTTGTTTCATTAATGTGTGTTCCCACGAGTAGCGAGGCAGAGCCCCGCATTACCAGAGGAAGGCTGATTACAATGAGATTTCGCCCAGTTCCTCAAAGTGATCGTTCGTGAACGCATATCACCCTGCGGCCATTCAGCTGTCGGCACGATTCCTTACACCTTAGCTGACCACCGACTAGGAATCCGGCGACCCCGTCCGTAAGGCCACATTCGGTGTACTCATTCGGTAACTGTTTTCTTGTAAAGGATTCTCAATCGTGTTCATTATGGAACGGCAATCACGCAATTCAAACCGTGATGAATGTGACCAAGCAGTAAGACTTTTGGAAAGAAGGCTGGAGTTACCGACGAATTGCTCGTCCCACACATCCATCACACAGATCTTGTAAAGGTTCCGTGAAACAGGCGATCATGAAAGCAGACCAGGGCAAGGACGAAATTGAGTAACTATCGCTATTCAGGATCAATATTTGAGAATTTTGGCTCCTCGCGACAACAGTTTGTTACACATCGGAATCTACAAATTCAGTTTATATATACAATTCAGTTTATGCTATACAAATCAGTATGGAAACTCTTCGCCAGCGACTCAGGGAACACGTCAATTGGTTAAAGCAAGGGTTCTCAAAAACGAATGTTATTCACCGATGAGTCCCGATTTTGTTTACACCATAACGACGACGGCCTAATAAACGATATGCTCAATGTAACTTCCACAAACCACTTTACTTGGTAGAGGTTCCGTTATGGTGTGGGATGGTATTTCTTTAACCGCACGTACGGACCTCGTGGTCATACACAATGGGTCCATTTCAACTGAATGGTACATAAGGGAGATCTCGGAGCAACACGTAGTACTATTTGCTCCTTATATCGGACAAAATTTCTTACTTATGCAAGACAACGCAAGACCTCATGTTACACAGATAGTAAGAAATTTCCTCGAAAAGGTTGAAATTAACACCGTGTAATGGCCAGCACGTAACCCGGATTTAAATCCAACAAAAAATATCTGGGTTATCCTCAATTCAACCAAAGAACCTGCAGGAACTGGGGGAAAAACTGATTCAGGTTTGGAGAGGACTGGACCAGGATGAAATAAGAAACATCATTCTGAGCATGGACCAACGATGTGATGCTGTTATACGTCGTAAAGGTGGAAACACTCGTTATTGACACTTTTCTATATGTTTCTGCCAACTTTTTTCCAACAATATTTTATTTGTAATTTACTTTTTTTTCAGTGTTACGTCAACCCTCGGCAATGATTAGTACACTCACTGATACAACGTAGTTTAACTTTGAGAATGTTTCAATTATTATTTCTCCTCTGACTACACATAAAAAATTGATTCCTTGAAGGGGTGCGTTAATTTCTCAGAGAAGTGTATTTCTTACATTAAATCATGCATTATTTCAATGCACACCGGTTTTGTTCACGAAATGGAGTTGTTACTATCCAACAATCATTCTCTCAGACGTAGGTTTCATACGTGCAGTCGAGCCGCGTTGAAATTAACTGAATCCCAGGCAATTTGCTGTTTGGATTGGATCTGTCCTGTACTGACGAAACGTAATACCTCAAAACTGCGGTCTACAGGTGATCTACTCGAATAATTTCAACATGATCATGCTGCTGGATGAACAAGAAACATCTGCGAGACTAGCCTCTGTGGGGAATTTTGCACAAATGTCTGTCAGATATAATTCAATATGCAGCATAGTATTAGCCAGGAAAGTAGTTGTTTTCCGACAGGTATTTTGTAAAACCTATGGTGAAGTTTGTTGGGAGAGATGAATATTTTGAGATTTTATTTCGAAATATTCATCTTTTACGCTTATATTAGAAAATAACATAAATGTTATTAATATCATCGTTATTTTCAGAGTTATCCACGGAACGGAGGAAAAGCCTGCCCGAAAAAGTTGTTGAAAAGGAAACGTTGCAAAATACCTTGCTACAATTATCAACTAAAGATATTCGAGTAGCATTAGATAAAAAAATAGTTACATGATATCATGTCAAGAATAAGTTGTAAGAGTAGAGATAATGTAGAATATAATAATTCAATAAAATTAGGTTTGAGTTTTATGTTTCAACTCACTCAACTCACTCAACTCAAATCAAAAAAAATATGTTGTGATATCTGATGATACCGAAAAGAGGCCAGCCAAAAGCTATAATTTGTGACAAATTTTGTTGTTGCAGACAAAACTCTCAAAAGTTATTCCAAGACATCATCAAATTATCTCTTCTAGTAGCAGGGGAGCCCACGATGCATCAATGTCCTACGTATTTGTAATAATGTTGGTATGTTAATCCGATCGTTTGCATGATGTGGGTAGTTGTACGTAAAAATTGAAAGTGAAAAGAACAAAAATTTGATCGATCGCGTCACATTTTCCAAGGGGGTGTTAAGGGCAACAAAAAAAAACTCTCATTCAATAATCTGACGATTTCGATCTGACGCAAACTCGCGGCCATTATTATAATGTGCAAAAAAAATCAGTATTTGGAGATGGTTTTATATTTCTATATCCTGTGATCGTATCAATTTTGAAGTCTATGAACTTGGAATATCAAAAGATGGAATTCTGAATACTATTCAAAGAAACGGTTGATTATCGTTCAGAAAATGATGGACATCGTCATATGACGTTTCCATAATACTTTTTTCATGATAGTAATCACTTGTTGGAAGGTAAAACCTCGTTAACCCTTAGCTGGTGCAAATTTCCATTTCTGAGGTTAATCGTTGTGAAACAATTACATTTGAAAGTACGTACAGGATATGATGGAAATTTTGAGTATGGTGACCAGTGTTATAATAACATCATGAAATGTATGCATAAAAAATATGTACTTGAACACATACATATACATACATCTCACTAAACTAATGTCATCACTACTCGCTTTATGAATTTACGTTATGCGCAACGTTGCCATGCAAACAACTAATTGACATTATGTGAATAATAAACTCCACCAAGCCAAAGCTGAACAGACCTTCATATCTATTACATGCGAAAAATGTCTGCCTTATGGATAGTACGGGCAAGCATGAACTTGATAAAGGTGAAATTCAATTTCACTATGATAACTATGATCATCTGATATTCATTCAATTTCTATTATAATCATTATTATAACTATGATTATTACAGAAATGAGATTTCAGCTCACAGTCATTTGTTTGCGACGCAATGTGTATTACATATAATATAATGTTCATATAACATTCCAAAATGAACATCTCACATTTGATGGTCATAGTAATATATAAGCTTTTGAGCTTTTAAAATGTTGTCCTTCCATATGGACTTAAAAATAACGTTATTTTGGCTTACTTATAACTTCCACTTTCCAATATTCACCTATTATCTGTTTGCAATAATATGGAAATGAAAAAATTGGATTTTGAGTTTTTGATAACATCAGTGGAAATAGAGGTTTTGCATTGACTGAAAAAACGAATTGTCATCAGCTTCAAAAATATCATTATGTTTAGTGATGTGATTCCGCAATTATTTCAATATAGAAAAAACCATAGGTTACGTCCTACAACTAACGTGTTTCAGATGATGATCACGAATACATACTTCGTTCAAAATGATCAAAATGATTGGTCTTTCCTTCAGTCCTGTGATGATGTTTTCAAAATTTTTGAAGTGAGGTTATTTTGATAAATAATAATTTTTGTCTTGGTTCGTTATGATACAAAAATAAAATAGTATTCTACTTACATTTTTAATTCATCAGTAAAAATACAGATTTTTGTTGATTGAAAAAATGATTTGATATGAGATACATTATGAAGATCAATGTATTACCAAATATTTTAATCATGAAAAAAATGTATATATGATATCCAATAACAAACATTATGAAGGTGGCGATAATGTGAACATAATTTGTTATTCATGCCATTAAAACATCCCGTTAAAAACGTGATCTATTCAAAGACTTCTCAAGAAAACTATCATGAGACCGAAATTTTGCAGATACAGTATTTGCCGAGGAATTGTCAATTCTTCTCTGAAAAATAAACTGAGCAAAATTTCATTATGAAACTGAATGGAGCTTATATCATCAAACTTCATTTTAAGAGTATTTTATCAGTTTCAGAAGCGATATGCCGACTTCCTAAAGATGTGGGTTCATGTAAAAGTAACATAGACAGATGGTATTTCGACACTCTGAAAGGCGAATGCGAAATTTTCAGCTATAGCGGTTGTGATGGAAATTTGAATAACTTCAATACGCTGGAGCAATGCCAAACTCTATGTGCCAAGTATCAAAGTGAGTTTTTTAGTTTCATCGCATGGTCAACAGACCGTTAATAGTCGATAGGGAAATTTGCTGGAAATGTGCTGGAAACAGGATGTATCGATGTACATAGAAATATGCTCCAAATGGTCTCGGAAAAGAAGCAAAGTTTTTCAGATCTAGATCTACTGAGTCTATTTCAGTCGTTGCACAACAAACGTGAAAAATATAATGTTTCTGAACTGACATTATTGAGAAACTTGGAGTAATTTCTTTTGATAATCGATTGGAAAGTGACTTCGTTCCCATGAAAACTAAAACTACTAAACTAAAGCAACTGAAGTTGTTTGTACCCTTAAAAATATCTGAATTGATTTTCACTAAACTCAGCCATTATTATAAAGTTGAACAAGCATAAGAATGTATTGATATGGCAAACACACAAATTCCATACGGAAGATAGATATAATTTAAATTTTCTATAGCTTACCAGTTTCCAGGGAGAAATTAGTGATGTAGCTAAATGCCATGAGCATAGTGTCGTAGAGTTCATGGAGATTAGAAATATAAAGGGGAATACAAGGGGACCAAGAACTGAACCTTGTGGTATTCCAAAATTCACAGATAAACCACTTGAATACTGACCATCGTATAGATAGATAGACAGATAGATAATATATTACCTTTTTGTGCCATTTGTACAATGTATAGGTTCGTCACATAGAATAAGAAATATTGTACAGTAAATAAAAATTGTATCACGCAAATATCACAAGAAACAAAATACATTGTTACATCATATTAAAAGATTAGACTCATCAATTTTCATGTATGGTTCATATACTCATTCAGATCATAAAAACATCTATTCGAAAGAAATTTCTTCAATTCCACCTTGAACTTTTTTGGTGAAAGTTGCATTAGGTGATTTGGCAATAAATTATAGAGGTGAACACCCGCCCATTCTGGGGATTTTTTGTAGTAAGTGTGATTGAGTTTTGATTGATATAAGTGATGATTGTTTCGTGTTCTATACTGATGTATTTGAGCATTCGATGTAAGCTTTGTTTTGTTATTATGAACGAATATAAGTATTTTAAATAGGTAAATGCAAGTGGTAGTCAGAATTTTATTTCTTTTAAAAGTTCCTCTACAAGACTCACCAAAATCTAAGTCGANGGTGTTTTACCAAAGATATGATATGTAGTTTGAACAATTCTAGAACTAAAACCCCAGTTGGGATATAAAAATAATCAACAAAGACATCTGGGCTTTTGGATGAATTCACGTTTTCCATTTCAATGGGTGAATGCAGAAATTTGCGTTGCGAATTAAGTATTAGAAGTAGTTGAACACTGAAGATTATCATACAATTTGAAAAATAAAGAGTTCGACCCAATTTCAATATGAGTTTGGTTGGAATAATAGTCTAATTGGGGTATTTTGAAACGCTTTTCAACCTCTGACAGTGGTGTATTCAGACAGATAGGTATTTTTATATAGTATTTTTTTCTAAATTCAATAATCAATATTGTTGGAAGATTATAATATAAGGTATACTTGTCTAACGTCCATATATGACAATGATTAGTACAATGTTAAATACTTTGAAAAAATTCTACTTTCTTGACTCAAAGCCAATCCTGTCTCATGTTACCCTGGAGATAATCCATACTGATCGGTAATGTTCCAGATTCAGATAAATCAATAATAACTGACAAAGTTTTTTTGAGCGAACATAACATTAGACATATGTTTTTGTATATTGAACGAGTCATCTGTCGAAGAAGTTGAGAAATAAATGATCAGCAAAGGACTAACTGCAAATATCTTTGAATTTTTTTGCATTTCTGAAGACGGAGGCAGATTTTGGCCTCCGAAACGTTAAGATAGATATTGTATTATTTCTTATCAATTTTTTTGATAGGCAAAATTGTTAAATACGATAAGTTACTGATAAATAGAATATTTTCTTTGTGAAAAATACTTTGATTTTACGCAGTAACTTATTGGAGTGAACTAAGAAATTCGCCCTTTCTATACACTTTCATAAAGTTCTCCATTAAAATGTTCATGTGGAAGGTAAAAATACAGAAAAGAGGTCGATAAAAAATGTTTTTGTAGTTCTATGTAGATCTTCACGAATTGAAATTGCGCTGACGAAAAATTACCCAAGCATTTGGCAATGATAGTGTTAATAAACGCATAATTCGACGTTAGTTTACGAAATTTCACCCCCGGAGATTTCATATCCTCGAAGATCAGCCCCGAAGTGGTCGACTTACAATATTTCACGACGAGGATTTGAAGAACTGAGCGTCAGCTCCCATGCAGTTAGGATCACTTCATCCAAAAATGTTATCGATGGTGTCCAAGTAACTCAGTAAGGGTCGCACCCTTAGAAGTAAGAATGGTACTTGAACTCTTCCAATTCAATGGAGAAAAGTTGAATGTTATGATTTTGAAATAAACCTTTTCAAATTTTGGACCAAAAGTATGTATGTATAAAAAAGCCATTTTTTTCCAGAGGAGCTATGGACAACCACAGAACTGAAGAAAAAAGTCCCGGAAGCAGATATCTCCAGTGTTCTAACCTACAACTACCAGAACGATGCAAACGGTAATAAATGCGGTAAACAATATTTGCTGGAACGGAAATTCTGTATAACAGCCAAAAAAACTTTGTTTCAGCTATGTCTATCATCACGGCTTTGACTCCGAACCAGCAGAAGCGTGACGATATTATTCCTAAAGCGAAGAGCAATTGCGAAGTTTCTAAATGGAGTAATTGGAGCGCTTGCAATACCACAACTGCCAAGTGCGGAATTGGATTTAGAGAGAAATATAGATATATTCTGGTGAGATAAGCAAGTTTAATGGAGTTGAAATAGTTATAGTTGGTTAAATCCCAGAAACACTGCAAATTGTTTATGAAGTGGTTATTTCAAATCCCCTCCTCTAGTTTAACTTTGATTATAATATTGTAAACGTCTATTCAGTAATGAACGAGGCATCTACTTTCGCTGTATTGAGAATCGTTTTCATGAACGAATTATACCTTCGGTAGCCTTTTTCATATATGTTAACTGTTCGCAACCTCCAGAAGACAGGGTTATATTTTTCAGATTGTGGACGACGAAAGTTTTGAAAAGAGAGCTCAATAATTTGGTGCAAGGTGGTTTCATAAGGTACCCCACTCTTGAGGAGACGACTCAGTCGTTTCCTGGCTGCACCACCAAACATTTTTTTTAGGTTCAGTCATTGGATCAGGAGTTGGAGAGTTGAGAAGCTCTCGCTCCTGATCTAAATTTACAAGGAGGTCAGTTGGAGTCGTAAGCTCGACATCCATCTCCTCTGTAGACTCAGCATCAGGAAGAATTTTCAAGTTTACTCTGTCCATAAAAGTCCCACGAGTAGCTAGAGCAAGAAGATCAATTACGGCAGAGCCCCGCATTACCGTGACAAGGCGATGCTACGACGAGATGGCGCCCGGTATCTCGAAGGTTCCATAGATACAGCTGATAGGCTCAGTGTCATTCATCCTCTTGGCACCAATATACACACCTTAGGATTAAGCCATCATTGGAATGCCATTCAGTCATTCTCGTATCCAGCGGGGCTACGTGGAATCAGGCATCCGATGGCCGGTTTGCTCAACCCCCACATGACAAGCCAATGCACTCACCAATTGCAGCATGCATAGTGGTTCAGGCAGTGAAAGATGAACAAAGACAGCCAACCCAATAATGATTAGTTTACTTGTTGTTGTAGCCAACTACAGTTCTGAAACAGGAGTCTGGAGACTGCAGTTTTTGAGACGTATATTCAAAGTATGATCGTCTTGTTTTTGAGTCGATCCATGTTATTAGGTATGTAAGGATTGTTTGGACGAATGAATAATGTGGTGGAATGAAGATCTGACTATGAAAAAAATATATGATGAAACTGACACAACTTGAGCTTGAGCTGCTTTTGCTAAGGTACTCAACCTTGAAGTGAAATCAGGCAGGAGTCTAATCAGGACTTTGCCAGATCAATTGTGTTCTCTAGCCCAGAATTTTTTCGTATTTCACTATTGTTATAGACAGCAATTTTTCATATTGTACATCTAAGGAGAAGTATCAGTACGATCTTTCAGTCAATTTTTCATTGTTCCCAATGCGAACTTTTCTGCGTATAATCTATCAAATCCAAGAATCTCCTTGCAGTCAATTTATATTAAAAACAGGATTTTCAGACATTTTTTGAACGTTATTTCTATTTTTAATAAAAATCACCGATCTTACTTCTTCAATCACGCAACAACTACTGTGACGAGATATGTACAGTAAACCGCATGCAGTTTTTGTTGCGAGACACTTGCACCAGCCGCATTGGTGTACGATGATTTTAACGATATCTGTATTTACCTCATGTCGCATGTTGCATGTTGCGTGTTTGATGTTTCGTTGGTGTACGACGGCGCTAACATGTGTGTGCATGTTAGGCCATCATCTTTGGGAGTCCGCCATATTGTATTCAAAATAATGTTTAATTTTTCGTATCCTATTCAGCAAACCCGTTAATTCGATAATTTATCAACGTAGTGCATTAACAAATTAATATATCAAATTGGGCGAAGAGGAATACGAGTATGCGATTCAGAGTGACGTCATTTCTGTTTCGTAATATTTTGAACAACCTTTTAATTTGATATCCATGTCATGGAGTGCATAAAAACTAGTCCATATGGGGTGGTTCGCCATATTGGATGTAGGCTGGTGACACTTAGAGGTCTGTTGATTCATCAATTTCTATTTTGTCTCCTCAGATATAATGGATACACTCGTGTCAGCGTTTTCTCTAATCATCAATCGCCGCAAAACGCCGTCTTTCCATCGTGCAGGTATATGACCGTGATGCAAAAGTCATAAATTGTTTTTCCACAATAGCGCAATTTAACGTGAATCGTAATTACAATAAAAATAACAAAATAAAAAAGAAAAAAGATGAAAATGACCACAGAGCAGAAATAAATAAAAAAACAAATATAAGCAAAAAGTTAAAAATTACGAAGACGATTGTGGAAACTAATATAATTGAAACATCTTGACTGATTGTCAAGAAATATACGTGTGCTGTTCAAATTTCGCGAGCTACATACATTGGATTATCGATTTTTTATTTTTTTTAAGTTCATACACACTCGAACATCTGTTAAAAAAATTGTTTGAACATGTTTTTCCGGCTTAGACCACCGGTTCACACAGAGGTCGATTGAGTGCGTGGAGCCATCCAGCCAAGGCAAAAGCAAAAAACGTTTATTTTTCTGTTGCATTACAATCCTGATCAAGTCACGGTATTCCACCTCAATGTCAATATCACACATACATCTGTAGAGTAGTGTGGGTGAGTGTACGCCTACAGCACTTAGGCCACATGTGACCCATTGTACATACTCATGTGGAGCTGTCCTTCTGAGTCATAGTCCATCCTGTCCTTTCCAGGTCACTAGGAGACATATCCTTTATATTGGCAGATGTAGATCAAGACTCGCCGAACAGACACTGTCTTATTAACGATAACTCCGGACACTCGCATAAGACATGCCTGCCAGTTTCATCTTCCTGTTCACACATCCTGCATAGAGGTGTGTCCACTAGCCTCATAATACGGAAGTGTTTTCTTAGTTGACAGTGGCCGATCAGAAATCCTACTGTTAAGCGAAGGTATTTCCTGGTCTTCGCCAGATATTTCTTCGACGCCAGCTTCCCAAGGCCGCCCGGGGTGATCCTGGTAAGACTGCCTTTTTTTATTCCATCCCTATAGGGATTGATCACATGTGTGACGTTTGGCTAGTTCCTCAATTGTCGAAGTCATCAGGCCTTAGGTGTCACTGGGTCCTAAAATTCCTAGTCCAGCCACTTCCTTGGCTAAAGAGTTGGCAATGCGGTTACCTTCACTTTCGTCATGCTCTTTGACGTACCTCAGAATAATATTATTATCTACCGAGGCTTTGGCTAAATCCGTGTGGCACTCTATTAGTAACCCTGAGGAACACGTTGTCTGTTCAAGGCTAATATAGGACTTGTCTACTATCAGTGCAGATTGTTATGTTTCTGCCAGAAATTCCTTCTCTGGTTATTTATTTTGTGGCGATGAGGATACCAGCCAGTTCTGTTTGAACCACGTTGGTATTTTTTTCCATTCCTCACTCAATTCTTAGGTTTAGTGATCTGGAGTAAACTCCACATCCTGAGCCTTTTTTGGTTTTTGAGTCGTCTGTATATATGTGTATTGTATTTGTAGCATCTGATTCTGTGTTGTCTGATTCATTTGTATTTTGTAGGATTTATTAAACACAAACCTGGGTTCAATTGCATCACTGACTGCCTATAACATATATATTAATGTATTCACAATACATGATACAATAAATTGTATTTCTACACCCTGACGCGGGCGGAGCGGCTCGATTTCGATATGACGCCTACTGCTTGTAGGCTTATACGTGAGTAGTGACTTCACTTAGATTAATGGATGATCTCATTCACTACTTTGCCTGTTTTTTAGTATTATCACAGGTATATTTTTCGAAAACAGAAGAAAAACCGAAGTTGAGATTTTGTGCTTGATTGTATTCGTTGTTAATCAACCGATCGCGGTTGATCGTTGTTAATGTTGTGTTTTCTAATCGTTGCGTTTGTCAAATATGTCCAGGGCTTCATATAATAGCCCCTCGTGTTTGCGGGGCTGATTATCATGTGCCCCCATATTGATTATATCTGCTGTGAGAGGACTCCTCGGTGAGAATAATTTATAGAATTTGTGAGAGAGTGTTCGCATGCGGTTCGTCACTCTCTCAATTCCGGCTCACACCATCGTGTATCGATTGTATCTTGCATCCTTTCCAGCCTTTGAAGAGGCTTTTTCTTCAGGCTGCAAAATACTGCACAAGCGTGTAGCATTGCAGGTCTAATCAGCTGTTTTCATATTAATAGTTTGTTATCGGTGCTGAGCTTTGAGTTTCTGGCAATAAGCGGGTAAGTCCGTTTTATTGCCGCTCCAGCCCTTTTTGTGGCTAAATCGGTATGGTCATGGAATATTAGAGACTTGTCTAAAATTACTACCAGGTATCGCGTATAAGTCCCGCTTCTCGTCACTTTTGTTCAGAACTCGGTAACTTCCTAAAGATTTTTGCATCACTGGATTTCTTTCGAAAGTTGATGAGTTCCGTCATAGTCGGGTTTATTCTGATCCTGTTCCTCTGTAGATACGGGTTGATTTTCCTATCCAGGTGATATTGGATTTTTCTCGTAACTGTTTAGTTTGAGAAAGAGTATGCATAGGCTCCAGTAATACCTAAGTATATCGCAGTCCTTGTACTGGGATATATGTATAGGGAAATCACTCGTAAGCAGAGAGTACAGGTATTGTTATAATCAGGATTCCTGCGGAAAACCTGTCTCGATCAAGTATTCACCTCGAAAGTCCTTTCCGACAGATAAGAGTTAATGAATCTTACCATGTGTGACGTCATGTTGGCTTTCAGCATTTTGGCGACCAAATCCTCTGTCCAGACTTTATCAAAAGCCTTCTCCATGTCCAACAGGACCATGACTGTGTTGTTTCCTTTGTGGATAGACTCCTTTATCTCATGGACCATACGGACCACATGGGACGTGGTGTTACGTCCCTTCTTGGATGCGAACTGTTTCTCTGGAACTAGTTTAGCCATCAACCCGACCGGCTACTGTCCTACTTGTTAGACGATTTTCCGCAATCGAAAAAATTTATCAAAGAATTTGCATCAAAAACACTTCGAATGGTGACAGTAGCATACAGTGATTGTACTCTGAGTCAAAAAATGTTTACAAGTGGTGCAAGCTCCTCACAGAAGGTCGCTCGTTCTGGTCGCCCCAGCAACCAATGATAATGTTGAGGAAGTGGAGAAAATTGTTATGGTGAATCATCGAATCACTATTAGACTAGTTGCTGAGGATGTCAGCATATTGTTTGGCTCATGTCATGATATTTTTCAGTGAATTTGGGTCACGAAGTGTGACCACAGAATCAAAATGAATGAAAATAAGCAAAAAATCAAAAATAACGAAGACGATTGCCAAAACCTCATTTCTATTAACTGTGCCACATTCAATGATGCTATATCAATGAATGTGGAAGCCACATTCAATGACATAACGAGGATATCATTGAATATGGTTGAGTTTGAATATTTGATTTTACTTCTGAATGATACATTTCAGATTTTATGGAAAGCACCTCAGAAAGGAAATGGTTGCATAAAATTCAAGGCAACCGTTGTGGAATCTGTCGACACCTGGTTCAGCGAAGAAGGAAAGTTGTCGAGGGTTTTGTGTGAAGAATCTCCAGATAGTGACGACACTCAACCAAAAATTCTCAAGCATTGCTGCACCTGTGATGAGGCAAAATATGAGGTGAATTTTCTTAAAAAAACAACATTTTCCCACTGAGAGAGATAGAGAGATGAAAATTTGGGCAGTTATATATTATATAAATGCATTTCATTAGCCGGATAGTTGGAAAATATGGTGCAGTTGTAGCTATCAAATGATACTTATTTGGTGTCAGGTGTGGAATAGTCTTCCATTCTTAAATAGTCGTCAAATTCAGTTGTTACGACAAGAGATTGCCGACAACTGTTTCTTCTAAATCTGTTATTTTCGTAGAAAATGTAGTTGTAGTATATTCTTCATTTGCAGGTTATTTTTGAGGGTTTATGGTCAAGAAACACCCATCCAAGAGATTTCCCTGCGAACGGATGACTAACAAGGTTTAGTGATATCATAGGAGCGTCTCATACAGTAAATTATACATTCTGGAGCTATGGTGATATAGCTAGTGAAGGTTTGAGACAGCTTGCAGAACATGGAAATACCAGAATGCTTGAAAGCGAGTTAAAAGCTAAGGTTTGTATCATACAACTGTTTGTTGAATCGGATTCTGACACTGGAAATTTCAAAAAAACTTAATGAATGTGATAATTTATGGAACTGCGATGATACATTTATGCTGCTTTTCAGAGTGATCACATTCGCACCATCATCAAAGCCAGAGGTATCAGTTTCCCAAACATCACTGGAAAAACTTTTGCTGTATTCAGGGTGGATAACAAACATCATCTGATGTCAATGGTGTCGATGATCGATCCTTCCCCAGACTGGATTGTTGGAGTATCCAGTCTTGAACTTTGTCTTCGAAACTGCACATGGATGGAATCAAAAGTTCTCAACTTGTATCCATATGATGTTGGCACAGATGATGGAATCACATATTTGGTAAGTGAAATTCATGTCGAAAGTAACAAAGTTGTGTTGGGGTTGAAATTATATTGTTCTCATTTAATTGATCGATTTATAAAATTATAATGTTCAATACATAGCAGCGTTGTGGGTAAGTTTCATTTGGAGCACAAAATATTTGCCTTTCAATGTCTTTTATGTATGGGATCAATTGGAGACCCTATAATTTTACTAAATTCTTGTGATTGACGAATATTCCATCAAATGTGTTAAGCTCAGGTATAGGGCAGAAGGGGGTAATGAGTTATGTTAAGTCCAAGATTCCCACCTTGATACCCGCGATAACCTTCCCACTCGAGCACAAACGTTTGCTAACCTGCTCATGGGGGTTTGTTCTTCCACCTGAGACAGATTCTGAGTACGCCGCTCAAGAATTTGATGCAAGAGGGTTTTATAAGGTACCCCACTCTTGAGGAGACGACTCAGTCGTTTCCTGGCTGCACTACCAAACCTTTTTTTAGGTTCAGTTATTGGATCAGGAGTTGGAGAGTTGAGAAGATCTCGCTCCTGATCTAAGTTCACAAGGAGGTCAGTTGGAGTCGTAAACTCAACATCCATCTCCTCTGTAGACTCGCTCCTGATCTAAATATACAGGGAGGTCAGTTAGAGTCGTAATCTCGACATCCATCTCCTCTGTAGACTCAGCATCAGGAAGAGTTTTCAAGTTTACTCTCCCCATAAAAGTCCCACGAGTAGCTAGTGGGAGTAGTAGCTACTGCAGAGCCCCGCATTACCGTGACAAGGCGATGCTACGACGAGAGGGCGCCCGATATCTCGAAGGTTCCGTAGAGACAGCTGATAGGCTCAGTGTCATTCATCCTCTTGGCACGGATACACACACCTTAGGATCAAGTCAACATTGGGATGCCATTTAGTTAGGGAACCACAAGTGATTCTGTCATTCCCGTATCCAGCGGGACTACGTGGAAGTAGACATCTGATGGCCGGTTTTTGCTCAATCCCCACATCACAAGTCAATGCACTCGCCAAAAACAGCATGCACAGAGGTTCAGGCAGTGAAAGGTTAACAAAGACAGCTAACACAATAATGGATAGTATACCTGTTGTTGGAGCCAACTACAGTTTTGAAACAGGAGTCTCGAGACTGTAGTTTTTGAGACGTATATTTAAAGTATGATCGTCTTGTTTTTGAGTCGATCCATGTTATCAGGTATGTAAGGTTTATTTGGACGAATGAATAATGTGGTTGAATGAAGATCTGAATATGAAAAAATGATATGGTGAAGCTGACACAATTCGAGCTTGAGCTGCTTTTGCTAAGGTACTCGACCTTGAAGTGAAATCAGGCTAAAGTCTAAGCAGGACTTCGCCAGATGAAGTGTGTTCTCTAGCTCAGGGTTTTTTCAAATTTCACTATTGCTACAGGCAGCAAACCATTGCACAAATTCAAAAGTATGTTATCGAATCAATTTTTCATATTATACCTCTAAGGGGAAGTATCAGTACGATCTTTCAGTCAATTTTTCATTGTTCCCAATGCAAAATTTTCTGCTTATAATCTATCAATTCCAAGAATCTCCTTGCAGTCTCCAAATCAACCATCCTCTCCCAGACAACCCATTAGAAGGCTCAGAACCAACGTTCCCGATGACCCAAGGTCCCCCTTCTACGACATAAGTGGCAACCCGTTGAAACCCTTCGCACGCCTAACACTAACAAGACAGAGACTCTACGAGAAAACCTGTGACCCTGCTCTGAAGGAAGACTCAGACGATGATGCCAATTGTGAGACAGATGATTGGTCTGCGTGGTCAGCCTGCTCAGTTTCCTGTGGAAGAGGGGTTAAATACAAACAGAGGAGATACAAACACGAAGAAAGTAAGTACAACTGTAATAAAAAACTTACAGAGAGGGCAACCTGTGAGGCTTTGAGGAAGTACTGCCCGTATCAGCGTACCAGAGTTGTGGAGGACCCCCTGTGCGAATTGGGACCGTGGTCGGAGTGGTCCAGTTGTAGCGTTACCTGTGGCAAGGGCGTGCAAACTAGAGACAGGAAGTACAAGAACAGATTCGCTGCTAAGAAATGTACAGCGGGAAAGGTGGATACCCCAATTCTTCAACAGAACTTGGAATGTTTGGGTGAAGGAAAATGTGAAGATTACGAAGAAAGGGTAAGAATAGAAATTCACAAAAACTTTCGTCAGGAAAGAAGGAAATGGTCACTGGTAGAATGGAAGTATGAATGGGAAATAGTTTTATTATTCATTTCAATCCATTTCAAATTATAGGAGTCTGTTTATTAATACAGACAAATTACTATAAAAATGTTTATTGTGAAGAAACGTATGTTGACGCTTCTGGGACTCATTACTATAGTGTAAAACGAAGTATATAACGAATTGAGGAGCAAAAGTACACTTTTCACAATTTCAAGAGTGTTAGAGAAAATTTTCGAAACACGAATGAGAGAACACCTTGAAATAAATACAATTATTGAACATCATCAGTTAACATTAACAGGCTGTGCACTCCCTAATAAATATTTTCAAATCGTTAAATGACAACAAGTGATCCACCTAAATTTTAATCCATCTTCCAAAAGTTTTCACACAATGAATCACCGAATTCTAATTGCCACTCATTTCATGATTCACAAAGTTTACAACAAAATAGGAATACATCGAATTCTATGGAATTAAACTGAGGTGTTTCTCAAAGAAACATTGTGATACTTTCATTGTACATTATATACAAACATCATTCATATACTTGCAGACTTGTTCATGATCCAAGTTTGTGACTTCGGGAGCCGAACGCAACTTTGTCAAAAATCGACACGAAAAATCGGGTTTTTTTCTCCAATTTTGTCGATGATAACCCTGAAGGACCAGTTTTTGAAATCCGGTAGTTCTGATTATTCGTAGACTTGTTTGTGATGTTGGCATAATGAATAATCCAATTTTTTTTTCGTTTCAGTCGTTGACTGGCCGGCTGCCCATAACGTGAGTGCCGTTTGAACTCAAAATCTAATGAATCTCTGATCCCAGTCCCAGCCTGGGTTTGTGTTTTATATGTAGGGAAACTTTAAGTGAAGATCAAGTGCGCCTAGTGAAGGAAAGAGGTGTAAAAACCCTTCTTGCGTCGAGTATTTCTCTTGAGAACAGAAAAGCAGCGTTTATTGAAGGGCGTAAATGAGATATATGTACACAGTGCTTGTCAGATAAAATACAACAATCTGAAGTTGATCAAAGCAGCTGAAAATCAAATATTACGCCATCAAGGGCCACGAGATCAGTCTCTGAGCAGTTCAATTTCAGAAAACAATGTTGTCTGTGTGAAGACAAAATAACTGAAGAGTTCCTTGTGGCAGAAAGGAAAAAGGAGCCAGAAAGATGGATCAATGTCTTAACTGCGAAAAAGTTGTCTCTCAGTGCAACAATCTTGAAAGCAGCTGAGAAACGTGGTGATGAATGGGCTCTTAAAATGAAACCACCAACAGGAAAGTCCAGAGGAAATTTTCAGTATCCCACAGATGATAAGGCCATAAAAAAGATTTATTCATTTCTGGAAGAGAACGCTGATGAGTGTCAGTTCTCTATAGATGAACTCATGAACCAGATAGAAGGAGAACGACCTCAACTACGAACAGTCAAAACTGGCTTGTTTGCAAAGTATGGGGAGGACATTTTGATCGATGAGAGACCCTTCAAACACACGACTGTTTGTTATAAAAACACAGGTTACAACATTATAACCAGTACATGGTATGACAGTAGAAGTTCAGATCCTCAAACAGAAAGACTACGCGCGGTGAAAGCAGCTGCTGAAGTCATACCAGAGGATATACGGTGCAAGTGTACGATACAACACAATTCACACAATCCGTGGATATCCACGCCACAAGGCCTCAACCCCAAAATAATGACCAGAGTTGCAGCCCCAAAATAACTCTTGCGGATGATTTCTTGCGGCTGCTTCAAGGGTTGTGGGAACGCATGCACCTGCAGAAAGGTAGGATTGAAATGCAGTCTGCAGGCACTACATCGGGGCTTCTTATGACAATATACCTGATGTTGCAGTAGTAGATATCCCAGAAGGCGACGATCTGTCCAATGTCGGAATGGCGGGCACATGACGTCGATGATTCATCACCATCCCCTAATGGGGATACGCCATCCCAATATGTCGATCCAGACACGGTTGAGACCTTCCAAGAGGGCTAAATTGATTTAATTTTTTAATTTATTACTCGATTGATTTACTCTATTGATCAACTACTAATTTCATTTATTACTTATTTATTTTAAAAATAAAATAAATACAACAATAAAATTAATTGGCGCTCCGGAGCGACTTCATTGATTCCATTATTTATTCATTTTTAATATTACTCGATTTCCTGCAAATAAACTTATTAACTTTTGTTGTACTTATCTTTTTTTCTTCATTATTCGTAGCTTAATAAATAATAGACGAAATCAAAGATCCATCATCGTTTACACTTCTCATTTTCTTTTTTAACATCCCATCATAAAAAGCTTCGATGGTATAATTAAAGTCAAAATTAAATCAATCAGAAAGACAGAATTGCAAAAAGTTGCGAAGTTCGAAAAAAATTATGAAATTAGAAAGGCTTTATCTCGTAAACTATCGGGTCGACAGGGACAGTTCTAGTATCATATTGTATCAATTTTAGTCTACTTTAAAAACTTGTTAAGCGAGTTTTTTCAAAAACTAGTCCTTCAGGATTTTAATCGCCAAAATTTGAAAAAACACGATTTTTTCGCGGTTTTTTCGATTTTTGACAAATTTGCGTTCGGCGCTCGAGGACACAAACTTGGATTATTCATTGGGCCAACATCATGAACAAGTCTGCAAAAAATCAGAACTACTGTATAAATGTATAATAAGTTACTGGACTATAAATATTATAAAGGAATATTATATATACCAAGTTTACTTGATTTTGATTCGTTTTCCTAAAAATATCCTCATAATGTTAAGGAAACTATATTCTATTAAACACACCATGATCTGCTAATGTTGCTGTTGGAAAAAGTTGTATACTTAGATGTGTTACACTTTGTATATTTCACTTCCGATAGATTTCTACCTATCACGCTTTATCCCATCACTGTAACAAGTAACCAAGATATTGAGTCAGCATTTTCAGTCATATAACCTGCAAGATAAGCGTTTTCGGCCATGGTTTACCAATATTTCCATTCACTACAGTAAATAATAGGTGCATTATTATTATCAAGTGGAACAAATAAGATGGATGTGTAAATGCAATTCTAATTTATATAATGGAACCTATTTTTTTGTTGGAGAATTGAAATTTCTTCTTCTTTTCTGGATTTTCATGTTTCATAAAACACAGTTCATTACGTTGTAATTTTTTGTGAATCCGTCCTTCTCTTTTCTATCAGATTGATGGAGATTGTCCAGAAAATCCATGGAGTGACTGGTCACCGTGCTCTGTAACCTGCGGAAAAGGTTTCAAAGAGAGATATCGACTGTCTCTAGATTTCACTGCGAAAAAGACGAAATACTGGCCGCTGAATACAAATTATAGAAGTAGCTCCTCAGAAAATGAATTTGATGAAGACGATCCCTGCAGTAGTTCAAAAGAAACTGTAGAATGCTTCGAGACGGACTGTCTGGATGGAATTCGTAATGGTAAGAGTACTTTATATGATCATCATCTTGAAAAAATATATAACACGGCGATATGCCGTGACAATGAAGTATCAATAAAGTGTGTACATCTTCAAAAAGATTGAAATTTCACAGATGGGAATCGAAAAATTTTCACAGAACACTATAATTATTTTATTGAAAAATAGTAGACAGTTATTGTTAAAATATTGTCGCAACTCAGTACTCGCTTGGCTTATTAACTCAATTAAATATTTCTTGTAACGAAACGGGGAAAATACTTCAGAAATGAACTTATACTAAAATATTAATCAAAAATACAATAAATTACCAAATACTTACAATATACTGCCACCCATCAGAATCAAAGAAAAGGAGATGTGCTTCATTGCTGGAACCTTTTCTGAAGATCAATAGATACTGAATGAATTTCTCAATACTGTCTGTCTATGATCTTGACCTCTCTCAATATTTATGAAGATGTATACACTGACATTGCAAATTTGATCAGGTCACTGTACTAAGGTAAAATGCTCAGCATGTAATATGTGCAAAGTTTGTGTATTTGGAGATGGTTTTATATTTCTATATCCTGTGATCGTATCAATTTTGTTGTCTATGAACTTGGAATATCAAAAGATGGAATTCTGAATACCGAGTGTTTTTGTTTTAGAATATCTCAGACAAATTATGTGAGAATAATACTCATTCAGTAAGTTTCGAAGGAAATGATAATAGTTATACTTTGATATCACTTAATGAAAAAAATAACTTTGGTTGCAAGGCTGATCCGTTAGATATTTTTGGTCTGTTCAAAGAAACGGTTGATTTTCGTTCAGAAAATGATGGACATCGTCATATGACGTTTCCATAATACTTTTTTCATGATAGTAATCACTTGTTGGAAGGTAAAACCTCGTTAACCCTTAGCTGGTGCAAATTTCCATTTCTGAGGTTAGTCGTTGTGAAACAATTACATTTGAAAGTACGTACAGGATATGATGGAAATTTTGAGTATGGTGACCAGTGTTATGATAACATCATGAAATATATGCATAAAAAAACATGTACTTGAACAATACATCTCACTAAACAAACGTCATCACTACTCGCTTTATGAATTTACGTTATACGCAACATTGCCATGCAAAAAACTGGTTGACATTATGTGGATAATAAACTACACCAAGCCAAAGCTGAACAGACCTTCATATCTGACAGATGCGAAAAATGTCTGCCTTATGGATAGTGGGGACAAGCATGGACTTGCTAAAAGTGAAATTCACTTTCATTATGATAACTATGATCATCTGATATGAATTCAATGTCTATTATAGTTATTATTATAACTATTATTTTTACAAAAATGGGATATGCTGGATTGAAAACTTCGTATTTTTTGCAGCTCACAAGAGATGACCATAAGACCTGTTTGCGATGCAAAGTGTAGTAGGTACATATAATATAATGTACATATAAAAAATCAAAATGAAAAATTCGGCTTTTGAGATTTTGAATACATCAGTGAAAATAAAGGTTTTGCATTGATTGAAAAAGCGAATTTCCATCAGCTTGAAAAATATCATTATCTTTAGTGTATTTCATCAGTTCGGACTTCCATTGTGTGATATAATATAAATTTATTTGAAATTCCGAAAATAACAATTTTATTGAACAAAATGATATCATTAAAAGATGAAAATTAAAAATAATTATTAACAAAAAATGAAAAATTCAAATATTTCAAACCAAGTTACGTCACGACGTTTCGATTGTTAGTATCCACAATCGTCTTCGGGTGATAACTGGACTTATTCCTGCACGTCGTCTTCATTTCAAACAGGTTGGAGCCTGGCTCCCTTACCTTTTTTCTCCGAGATCTGACTATTTATACGTCATTCTAGTGCTTTCACCTATCCCCTCTTCCCTCTCTCCGCTTCATTGGTTTTAGCGGGATATGACCCTTTGACGGGAGTTGGCCGTTTTTTGCTTGATTAGAGGTTTCCCTATGTTACGTATCTCTACGCTAGCTTGACTAAATGCGTTGTTGGACAACATATACGCGGCTTCTTTGAATTCCTAAACCAGTGTTCTTCTTTGTGGATGATTTCAGCTTGAGCTCACTTGATGTTATGTTGATGAGTCCAAACATGCTCTGCTATTCCGGATTTGCTAGTTTATCCTCACTGTGTGTGTTTCTTGTGCTCAGCAATACGAACTTTCAATGATCTCTTAGTTTCACCGATGTATGATTCTCCGCACTCGTAACCGGTAAATGCAATTCTTGCAATCGCAGTCCGCGTTTGGTGGCCTGGTTTTTGTGAGGCTGATACGGATGATAGATTTCACTGTTTTGCTTCTATTCTGTTTTTACTATTTTTGGATGAAATAAAAAATACTGCGAAGCAACCATAAACTACTTTGTTTTTTTTTCATTCAACTACTAGTTACAAACCATACATGTTTGCCAACACAAAACTAAACTAAGAAACATATGTTCGAACTACACTCAGTAGATGGCGACNTTTACTATATTTATATATAACATATCTAACTAACACTCCTTTACTCAAAGCATAATGGTAAAAAATATCAATTCAGATTGATTTCTGTAGGTTGGATGAATCTTTCTTTTCAAATTTCATTCTGACATATATTCATAAACAAATTCAGTGATTTGGGGAATAGATTCGACTCAATTCACAACATTTTCTGTTTTCATTGAAATAAAAAACCCACTCATGAGAGGAGCCCGAACAAACGAAAATATTTGAAAAACAATTTCTGAAAAGTAGAAGGAAACTTCACTTTTCTATTTCGAAACATTATTGGAGTCCCATCAGATAAAACTCGGCGTTTGACAAGTGTTAGACTTAAATTCTACAGAGAGATTGGTATTTCCACGTCTTTTTTATACAGAATAATTATTAATTGATTGAATCAACTTTTGTAGTGAAATCATACAAGATTTGAAACAGCGCTTGAAAATGTGATCTTCATCGTTTATTCACATCTTTTTAGCCAATCAAGTAAATAATGTGGAATAAATTGGTACTTCCAAGTTCTTAAATGATACAAAATTGAAAGCCACTCGAATGTGATTCAAACTCTATACTAACATTTTTAGAATAATTCAAAATATGCTGTTCATTTCTGATATACACCAATTCTTTTACAAATTCAGTTCTACGAATGTGTACTGAATATATTACTTGAAGTTTAAGAAATACAAGTTACACCTTCAATAAATATGTATACAGTTTTCTTCATATTCATGTCAACTTCGAAAAGGCTGTGCTAGTTTTTTCCATTTTTTTCTGTATATCTCGTTTAACGTCTCCTACATGTTACAAGTACTTCAATAATAGAAAACATCCACTAGGTTGAGAGATCGCCATATCACTCTTTGACGTCGATACATTGTATACAAATGGAACAAATTGCTAAAAAAAATTCGATGAATCCAGTTGACAGACATTTCGACAAATACTCCCATCGGCAAACAATAATAATCGACTCTCTGTATTATACATTCCTCCAATAAATTAACGCACCCCATTGGAATTTCAAAATATTTTGTTGCTGTTAATAAAAACTTCAACGACAATGTCAAATTTGGTAAAACTCTCGTATATGCCATTTGTAAATGCGATATTTTTTGACTGCAGTTTAGTGCTTTAGTTTTTATTAGCAATAATGAGAAAGAAGTACGAAATGTACTTATTCGGTGTACTAATGTATCTGTAGACTAGGGAGGGTGAGTGTAGACTCACAGCACTTAGGCCGCATGTGACCCATTGTACATCCTCCCGAGGAGTTGTCCTCCTAGGTCGTAGTCCATCCTGTCCTTTCCAGAGAGGTGAACAGGTCACTAGGAGACATCTCCTTCATATCGGCAGGTGAAAGCCAAGACTCGCCGAACACACACTCTCTTTGGCAACTTTGAGGTGTCTCACGGCGGTCTCTGCGAAGGTTTTGGAAGGTGCAGCGGCATTACTGTCATTGCGCAGCTTCTTCCCACGAGTAGCAAGGGAAGACTTGGTCACCTCTGGCAGAGCCCCGCATTACCAGAGGTGGGCTGATTACAATGAGGTGTCGCCCAGTTCCCCAAGGGGATCGTTCGTAACCTCGTATCATCCTGCGACCATTCAGCTATCGTCACGATAACTTACACCTTAGCTTGGGTAGGCTGGTCCACGATGGCATGTTTTGCAAAGGCTTTTGGGTAGTTTTAGTTCCTCTCACCCTACTTATTTCTACCACTGACCAGGAATCCGGCGACCCCGTCCGTAAGGCCACATTCGGTGTACTCATTCGGTAACTATTTTCTTGTAAAGGATTCTCAATCGTGTTCATTATGGAGCACCAATCACGCAATTTAACCCGTGATGAATGTGCCCAAGCAGTAATACTTTTGGAAGAAGGCTGGAGTTACCGACGAATTGCTCGTCCCACACATCCATCACGCAGATCTTGCAAAGATTCCGTGAAACAGGCGATCATGCATGCAGACCAGGACAAGGACGAAATTGAGTAACTATCCCTATTCAGGATCAATATTTGAGAATTTTGGCACTTTGACAACAGTTTGTTACACATCGGAATCTACAAATTCGGTCTCGAAACGTGCATGCTATACAAATCAGTATGGATACTCTTCGCCAGCGACTCAGGGAACACGTCAATTGGTTAGAGCAAGGGTTTTCAAACTGTTTTAGACACCGTACTCCTTTTTACACAAAAAAATTCGGGTACCCCTTCACAGTTAGTAAAATAACTGAAATACCTATATGTCGGAGAATGATCCGAGTTGTCAGCCTTTTATTTTGTATAGTTTTAGCACGTGTAACTCAATTAATTGTCATGTTTAAATAAAAACAAAGATATATTGTTTACATACATTTTATTACATTATTTCATTACATACATTTTATTAAATTAAAAACACACAAACCTTAAAAAAACAAAAAGCTCTTACTTCAAAAAAAATTAGTAAAAAGGGTGAGCTTGTTTCTGTTTGCACAGTTCATCAATNTGAACGTTTTATCTTCTTGTTTGTTTCTTTATGCGGTTAGAACGCCTTAGTTCAGCTACTGCAGGTAAATTTGCCTGTATTTGGGTTATATCAGTTAATATCCTTCGTGTTGTATTTTCTCTAGGAATGTATACTGTATTGTGTAGTATATTGAATGCTAGGTCTTGTTGTGTATTGATTTGTATGGATGTTTAAGTTTTCCCAGATGTCCATACGGTTTACTTTATTGACTTGTGAGTTTTATGTTCTCTGGTGTGGAAAAGTTATGTTTTTGTATGGCGTATGTTGCAAGGTTTGATTTATGTGTTTTTGGGTTTATGTATGCCTTTTTTGTGCTCGTGGTACCTTTGGATCCAAAGGTGGGAAACTGTTACATTTGACAGTGTCTCATTTTCTTGAAAAGTTCTCTCACTCTTTCTGGGATGCAGATGAATCATTTAGTAAGTTCAATTTTTTTAAATTGTTCCGACCTAGTATTTCCGAAAGAGAAAATAAACTAATGCGTTATATTTTTACTTCAATATTGATATATATGCAAGTATTGAGTAACAAAATATTCGAAACTGTTTCAGGTCAAACTCAAGCTTTTTCCAGAATTGGTTGAAGACTGGGTGTTTTACCAAAATTCAAGGCTTCCTCTTCGTCAACAAAAACATTTGACAACCGATCCGAAGTATACGTAGGAATAGTACTACGCCTGCTGAGCCTCTTCATCCCCCTGACTTCAACACCACAGATCACTTGCCTGAAAGCGTTCCGCATTCGATTCGACATCACATTGTAAACGATTGGATTCACAGTAGATGATATGTAGTACAGGACTCCTGCTACGGTATACATCCAGTAGTTCAGTTCATCGAAATCGTTTGAATTATTCATGTACACTGAAAGTAGCCTCTGGATATGAAAAGGACACCAGCATATGAAAAAACCTAGCGCAATGAAAGCTGAAACAAACACAGTAATCACTATTGATATATTGAATACAGCCCTACCCACTGCGCCATTATAAAAATCGTTTGATTTGAGCAATGTGTCGTTAAATTTATTCTTCTTGTATTTTTTTTTTCAGCATTTCATGATACTTACATAACATTTTGACTACATTATTACGTTGCTCTTGGTGTCTTTTATTCCTCCCATGCACTGAGCCGCTAATACCTCTACCCAAAGAAGATTGACTTTTCGCTGATCTTCGTATCACAATTCCCATTTTGACATACTGGTAAAGTATAACGGCCATAGGAATAACGAAAAACACAATCGAACTGACTTCAGTCAGTGGAATGTTTTCAGGTTGTGCTGTCATTGCGCAGAACGCTGACTCCTGAAAGCACGAGAGGTTAGCAACATTGGCTAAGTTGAGAAAGTTAGGTTGGATCAGGTTTTGAATTCGGAGCAAAAAAATGAGAATTTTTTTTATGTTCTAGCTTTCGATACTTTAATTGACTCAGGAACTATTTGTACAATGAGGTATATAAATAATAACAAAATTACAATAAGATAAATGAGAATACAATAAAATTCAAACACATAAAAAATATACTACGTTATTGAAAGCACTGAATAATATAGAATATATAGAAATATATGATTTGTCATTCAGTTTTTAAAAATATTTCAGAAGCTGTCTTGGAGGACAACGCAACGGTCAGTTGTCATGTCAGATTTACATGAGAAACTGATTAAAGTAATAGAAAATGTTGCTTCAGGGAGACTTCGGCTGAAACTACTAGAAAGCCGATTCTCTAATAGGAAACAGTTCGTCATAATAAATCAAACACTTGGTTCTTACTCTTTACTATAGAATATGGAGTCCCCCAAGGAACGGTATTGGGGGCCTCTTTTATTCAATTGTGTACCATTTTGGAGTTTTTTGTTTATTAAGGCGAAAATGTATAATGAAAATTGTTTTTGACAAGTTGGAATTATCCATTCTGAATTTTAATTTGAATGCAGAAACAGTTCAGTGAAAACTTTGTAATTTTTCTGCTATTATTCGATTATTGTAATTTTTTTTCAAAGTAGCGCCAAATTCAATGTTTTGTCTTCATTTGTCACTTATAGAAAAAATGCTGTATTTTAATGATATACGTGTAACTATTTTCTGACTCAATTTCATTAACTGATGGTGAAAAGAGAAGCCAAAAACAATGAAATCTGAACCCGTATATTGAAAAATGTAATTTTACGCACAAAATGTTGATCAATTCTCACCATAATTATGTTTTGAGGTTCTTCTGGATGAGTGATATAATCCACTCCACTGTGAATAGCGAAAGGCAGCGCACAAAAGAAGGAGACTACCCACAAAATCAAGATGATTCGGAGACATCTCTGTAGGCTAGAAACAGCCACTTTAATTAGTGGATGACAAATAGCGACGTATCTTTCAGTCGAAAAAACCACCACAGTTAAGACTGAAACATATGAAGCCCTGCAATGGAATGAATATATCTTCAACACGAAGCTCGAAGAGGATTTTCAAAGCTAGTTTGTGGTGGTACTCACATTTCTGAAAACAGCGCTCTTGCTTGGCAAAAGTACTGCCCGAAAATCCATGGGTACTGATGCCAGTATAGCATGACGTCATATGGAAGACCTGAAACAGTCATTAGCATATTAGAGCAGAACTACAGCTCAAGACAATAGAATTGAAATATCTAAATCACTCACGAAATTTTACATTTTATAGAAAACAAAAAAAACATTTGAATAGAGGTAATTGGTTTTTTGAACTCTCAATTAGGGGTGAACTAGTCAGTTTACTCTTTAGTATACTGTGGCAGATTCTCTATTGATTCAACTTCTTTTTTCTTATTATGGAAGATAAAAACAGCAAAAAACATCCGATGACTGTTAATCAGATAGAATTATTGCTAGAGTTCATATTGCGAAAACAGTTCAATTCAGGTAGAGTTTCATTGAAAATGGGATGTACCTCTTCTGAAGGGGAGGTGTAGTCTCAATTTACTGAACTCACCTCTCGTTCTACAAAAAAAACAGTTTGAGATAAACGTGTAAAGCTGAATCTTCTGTCTCATCGATACAACTGTTTTCAGCTTGTTATTTATCACAAAGACTATGTGCCTAGTTGGGAAACATTTGGTGAAACTTGAGGTTACCCCATCTCTCTATGCAAGTTGCTAGAATATACAGAATAATTTGGAGTTGTGCATTCTTAGCGACTTCCTGGTCAAGAAATCCTCATTTCATAATGATGTGGAGAAATATAAACATCTGCCAGGTTACACCACGAAACCAAATATCCTTTAGAACTGACGTACACCATTTCAACTTGAGATTCAGGACACATTTAACAATACCACATCATAAAATTTCTGTATTTCGCGGATCTTTCACTTAGCATATTGCCTACTGATATAATCGGATACCCATTGAATATAAACCTTACAATAAATAGATACAACTAATCGAATTATGTCGAAATCAGTCAACCTTTCTCCAAGCTCAACAAAGTATATATACATACAATACATATACATGTATTGGCATTTCAATTTCCCTGTATATATTTGTTGTACTGTTGTTAATAGCATACTGTTTTTTTTTGTTTTTCTCTCTTTTTCTTTTGTTCTTACGGTTGGATGAAAAATCAATCTCCGCGATGATTTATCATAGGCAGATACTGAATCCTGCCATTTGATTGGCTGTAAGTGTGTGGAACCATCAATAAGAGCCATTTTTTTTTCGCCGTAGTGTGCACTGGTCAGGCCTCAGCCTCCGAAACTCCGATATATTCGGGAGGGCGCGCTAGCATTATCAACCAATGACCACTCCCCACACCTTGGGGTAAGTGATCATTGGGTCCGAAAATCATGTGCCCTGAGCAAGCAAAGTGAACCAAGAATGACAGCCTTCTGGATCTGTGCGGCTAAGATTTCTGCCTTAGTGCGGCAAGCCGGTATGACTTCAAGATTCGAGAGTAGAAAAGGCATCATTCCACCAAGGACTCCAATAATCAGAACAACCATCTTGACAGAGTGATCTGGATAGAGTCTGCGGAGTTCGAAGAGAAAATCTCGATATATTATCCGATTCTCCTCCTCTTTTCTCGCCAAGAGCTGAAAACTCCACGACAAATCTGATGGTCGAGAAGGACTATCAGGCGTATTAGCTTGTAGGGCCTCTTTTATTC